GGGAAAGTGGAGTACAAAATGAAAACAGCAGTTTTCATCCACAAGGAGGAATCCTGGCCCCCCCGTTTTTCCTCCGAGAGCACCTTTGTAAATGAGAGTATCATCACGAGCCACATGGACCTGGCGAGTTAGGATTGGCGGCCTGTTGGCGGCCTAGCACATGCTGCGCTACGCTAGCCGCGGACCTCTCAAGTCAAAAACCAGGCCCCTTAAGCGGGTGATCTTATCAGCCCTGGTTTCAGGATGTTAGGCAGGGGAAGCTCACGAATCCTTCAAGAACGCAGCCTGCATTTGCTTTGAAAGGGAACCCCTTACTGCCTTCTTGGGGAGGCCCGCATGAACCAGGAGAGCCCTATGGCCTTGCAGAGGCGCAGACTCCGACGCTTCAATGTTCCCTTTTCCACACATCCCTTGGTTCATGTTGGGTTCATGTGTGGAGGTTGAGGGCTAACACGGGTTTCTGGTTTGCAATGGAGTACTTGGAGTATGACGAAACAAATTCGTTCGAGTAAGCAGCCTCCATCACAGAATCTCGCCACCCGGCATGTCCCCAGTCTATAGATAATAGTAGTTTCCATGGTCTTTTCCATTATCCCTGTATATTTGGGGTCCAAATATACACCGATATACTGATATAGTCCTCGATCATGTAACCCTGTGCAATCCTAGCTACCCTAAACCCTAAACCCCTCGTCCCAGTCTAGGTTGGAGAGGCCATTAGTCTTGGGATTGCACCTTGCTGATGAATCAAGTTGGGTTTCCGAAAATTAGGGGTACTTTTTGAGGGGATCCCTATAAGAAGGATTATAGTATCCGATTTTGAGAAACTACCACGTAGTGGAGCTTGAGGTCCTGCGGTTATTCAACACCACGCTGCTTGCCAAAAACTTTCTGTCGCCCAGCCCTTACTTCTGACGTGCGCTAGGCTCTCAGCAAGCTTGATTTCAATCAGCTGGCAGTTTTGAGTTCAGGCATACTTCCCTGGCATGCTGGATCTGATGCAGCGTTCAGGAGACACACTTTTGGCAGTCAAATTTCGTTAACCGGTAGGATTATAGCGTCGCTGAACAGCATGAACGTGTGCATACTGCTCCATAGGCATTGGCAAGTGGCCGGCAACCTTCGCACGCGACTGGCCCAGAGTCAGTCAGCCCTGCATAGCATGCCATTCAGTTGGCGTTAGTAGCTTCAGGCGGACTACATGCAACATTTGATTTATGCAAAAGGCATTGGATACCAGACAAGGCATGTGGAGCCACGTGCCAGCATTGGTTCTTCACTTGACACAGGCACTGGATGTCGCTGTTTGTGTAGAGGAGAGGTGGTCAAGTCCAACATTCAGACATTCCACAATCCATCGATCAGGTCTCTCCTGTGCAGTAGTGACCCTGCCCTTGCAAAACCCGGCACACCGGGATGCGCATCATGATCAATTATTGAGCTCCAAAGAAGCGTGCACATCACCCTAGGCCCACATCCCAAGAACCATTCAACCACACATGTAGACCCTGGCAACCACACCATGGACCCAGCAATCCCTGGATCCCATCTCAAAGCTCGTCTAAGGAAGGTAGATTCTCTCAAGGCTTCCAAGACTCAGCTCCAGAACGAAGTCCTGGAGGACGGCACAAAAAACGTGGAAGCAGTTATGGAGCTACATAACTCCCACATACTAAAGTGGTTTCCATTTTCTTCTCCATTACCCCTATATAACCCCAATATACCCCTATATATATATATACACCCTTATATAACCCCATTAAAGTGGTTTCCATTTTCTTTTCCATCATCCCTATATATCCCCAATATATGACACCAATATACTATAGCAGTTTCCATTTTCTCTGTCTTCGCATTGCCACGCCTCTATTATGCAGCCTTCGTAACAGTGTTGGTTACAGTTCTTGCCCTAAGGGTCCACGGACTCAAATAATAGGGCTTTAGGGCCCAAATACTATTTTTTGTTAATGGTATTTGGGCTCTAAAACCCTATTATTTGGGTCCTTGGACCCTCAGGGTTGTATACCTTCCAGACGGAGGTCTTGGGAAAAACATGATTCTACTTAATTGCGCCTTCGTTCCCTACAGCGTTTGTAGCTAACACGGTTTTCTCCGTAGGTCCCTATCCTATAGGGTAGCTGATGAAAGTGGCGCATCGAAGTCTGGTCAAAATCACTAAGCTTGTGCGAAATCACTAAGCTTGTGCGGAAGCATGACACCTTCTTTGGTCATGAGCAGCAGAAAGTTTGGGGTTCATCTGAATTATGTAATGCATTCTGCAACGGATCCTGGCCATGCAAACTTCTTCAAGCCCCGTTCTTTCCGTTTGTCCGAAAAGAAGAGCAGCATAAGTGCTGATGTCTCAAAGCTTTGACCCTGCTTCCAGCGCTCCTTCTGACGATGGTGTCTCAGTGTTTTGGTTCTCTAGTATGTTAAGGAGTGCGCTATTCATGCAAATCTCTGCCGCCTGTTTGCCTTCCGTGTCAAAGGCCCCCATCCGTCCAATCTGGAGCATCCCTGCAAGTAAGAATCTAGACTCAGACAGAAGATGCAAGAGACAGGCAAAGGATCCTATCAGGTTTGATGGAAGATGCACTGCCCGTCAAGTTCTTGGGTAATTCAGCGTCATGGTGGGGAAGGGATCACTTCAGGAGTCGGCCAACCTGACGCAGCTGAAGGAGCAGCTCCTGGCAAGCCAACAGCAGAGGCAGGCAAAACCTTCGAAACAATGAGGCAGCTAAAATGTACGAGGAAATGTTTAGATTGTCTAATGTATCCCGTCAAGATTTGCATTTGTTAGATCTCCCACCTAGACATCAACTGCTCAAACGAAAGCATTGGCCTGAGAAGGTCAGAGTTCATTGACCGCCTTGAAGAAGCCATTCAAGGCCTCTGGGCAGCATTTGGATTTTGCTGACCCCTAGCCGTATGATCGAGGCATTGTAGGCATGTGTTCAACATATCCAAGTATGGCCCGCAATCAACATACCAAAGTATGGCCCTTGACAGCATCACAACTTTGCGACCCGTCGCCGCGAACCAGACTTAGTGAGCTGGCTCGCTCAGAGTTCTGAATGCCTCCAGTAGAATCGAGGTAACTCAGCCGTTCATGCATTTGAGCAGACTGCTTGGGTTTACCCAAACTTCAGTGTCCTCTCGAGCTCAACTCAGAAGAAATGGTGACCAAGGACAGTCGCTGAACTTGGCCCTCACCTTAGCGCATTAGGTTGAGTTCGTCCGTCTATCAAGGATTGATTTCATACCTGTATAGTATAGCTTCAGGGAACACTTTTACGTTTCCCGAGCTATGCATGAACCTTACCAAGCGGTACTGACCTTGTAGGTGCTCGAGCTTCACGCCTTTGTAAGATCAGCAAAGTGAAATCCCACAAGCATGTTGCCCTTTTCGTCTGAACGCTTTGTTGTCAAGCTGCAGGCGTGGCCCACCATGTCAACAATTAGCAGTCTAGTCAATGATTAGCAGTCTGAAGCTTGAAGCTTTGTCAGAAGTGAGAGTCCTCCATGTATAGTATATAAGCTAGAGTCTAAGCTCCTTAAAGGGGCTGTATAGAGGATCATATAGGGGAGTATTCTATAGGGGTTATTAAGGGGGATCTTGGAGCATGAAGAGGGAGTCAACGTTCCCAGCAAAGATCCAAGGGATTTGAGAGTTTCTCAAAAATGGGGGCCTCCTTTGGAGAGCCTACAAAATAGGGATGATGGAGTAGATTGCGGTCTATATGGTAGGCTGACAAGATTGTGGTCCCTTTTTTGGGGTCCCTACAATAGTACAAACCCTAGTACTTAAGGTGCCCCAAGAAGGAACCATGATTTTGACAACCTACCAGATTTGCTTCCATTTTTGCAGCAGGTGGCTGCGGGTGACCGTTTGCAAGAGCTTCAGAATATCAAGAGGGAGGAGAGCTTACTACAGGCTGGTGGCTGGGACAACGTAGGAGCCTGGAGTTTAGGGTTTAGGGTTTAGGGCTTGAGGCCCAGAATTCTTTTTAGGAACTAGGAAATGTTCTAGGATATGTCGGGGGAATCTCTCAGGGGCCCCCAAGATCAGGAAAAGTGTGCCTTTGGCACATACAGGGTGTCGTCTCACAAGCAGAAATCCTCTAAGTCGGCAGTCGGGCGATAAGCCTGAACCATCAGTTGGAAACCACATGATTTGGAGGTGTTGATGTATGCGAAGTTGCCATGCCCAGAGTAATTTATTGGACAGGCAGGCACTCGCGGGGGATTCTACAGGATTATATAGGGGTTATATAGGGAGATATTGGGATAATGGAAAATAGAAGGGTATCTCACGCCCCCCTAGCG